ACTGAGTCAAAGGTGGTTTAGTCTGAAGGCCACGTCAGTGTGAGCACCACTGTAACAGCACAACTACAGACCAGTAGTCTTGGACGAATCCTGGACGTTATACGCGTGTCTCACAGAGATGCAGCATGTAGACCGTTACACATGTACTAAGAAGAGTGTTGGACGGGCTGTGACGCGTGGATGGACCCCCGGCACCGTGGGCCCTCCTACTTCTGGGGCTTCTCACGTGACGTTGCCCTGTTGACAAAGTCTGTCACTCACAGACTGACAGACACACCTGCCAACGTACTCCACATCTGTTCGGAGACCCATTTTGTGATCATCACACACACACACACACACACACACACACACACACACACACACACACACACACACACAGTGAAAGCAGCAGCTGCGTCATCACGACTGCTGCATGTGCCCTACATTATCTGGCAGTGCTGTTCGTTCCAGCAGAGGAAGTGGAAATGTTGTAGCTGCATCACAAACACCAAAGTTGTCGTCCTCGTTAATCCCTGGGAAACAGGAGCCGGTCATATTTTACTTTTTCTATAAGATTGAAAAAAAGAGCCGACCCATCTCTGCATCTTTCCCCAGCTTGAACATGAGAGCGCTGTGCTTGTCTTCGTGCAGCCCAGCCTGCCGGGGTTAACACAGACGTGAAAGGAAACATAAACTAATCTAAATGACCTCCCTGACTCGGGCATTTGCTCTGCTGTCGTGAAACCTGCCTTTCCAGCTCCCGTCACTTTGACATCTGACTGGAGATGTTTTGCTGTAGCAGCGCCCGTCTGCAGTTCAGCTGCGACACAAATGCAGATCTGTTGCCAGATTCTTGCTATGAAGATGGGACTAAAGAGATCCGGTCTTAATACCGGATAAAGAGACGGCAGCGTCCTGTCTCTCCTTAGGAGCAGAGCACGTGATGATGAGATTGTTGGCTCGTTCCCTGCGTCGCCCACAAAGACGTGCATCCTGTGAGGCTTCAGAGCAACCCGAGCCGGCACAGAGGCGTTTTTGTCGGGACGATGCCCATCGTCAGAACCGCTCGAGTTCAAGCTGATCTCCTGTGAGGCTTCAGAGAAACCAGCTTTGTGTTGTGCACCTCTGCAAACATTACATGAAACTTTAGTAACATTCAGTTGGAGAGCAGAGGCTCAGAAGTTTTTCAGGCCCATCGACAGGTAAAGTGTTCATAATCTATTAAAGTGTTAGCGCCTCGTCTCCTCCTCT